CCCGTCCGCTCCGATACTCACCTTCGGACCTGACTACTCTCCTTTCCGCCACTCCTTCTCCCCTTACCTGTCCCCTCTCTCCTCCCTCTGTTACTCCTCCGCCACCCTTCTGCCAAGTTACGACCGTCCACCACTGTTCCGCACTTTGCACTCGGACACCGCTCGTACCTTACTCCGAGCCTCAGTCATAGTCCCTACCTCGGACTTTGACTCCACCTCGGCCTTAGTCCATTACATTGGTGACCTCATACTGCGTAAACACCATTGCCAATATTCCTCAGACTTCCAACCCCGCCTCCGTAACCTCCGCAAGCTCCGCAACCCCCGAGCTTCGCGGACCGCCTTTGGCACTCTCTCCACTTGTAATGTATTTCTCACGTTTTCCCTTCATCCCTATTTGGACTACTGCTTCTTTCTATTCTAGCCAGTTAGTCATCATCCCCACTTCCCCTCATCCTCCTGCCCCTCTGGGCCTCGCCCTCCCTACCTCCTTTCGGACGTATCACAGGTCTTGCCCTATGACCTTCGGTACCGCTCCGCTCCCTCTACCCTTTGTTCCCATTCAGACGTCTTCGTTCCGATTCGGTCACCCTTTGTTTCTCTTTGTGCTTTTGCCCCTTCCATTATATATATCGGCGCTTGTACATACTTGTCTTGTTTTCAGTCCGAAATCGACCTGAAATGCCCCCAAGAGACTTCCTGCTCACCTACTGTGAAATTAAGGACCAAATGGACAAACAGCAATGGCACAGCGCTCCGCTTGAGTCGCTGAGGCCAAGGTCCCTCCACGCTAAGTCTCCGATTCCACTCCGGAGTCGTCTGTTCCCGCCCGGTTCTAACACCTTTGGTGTTCCCAAAGGGAACGTACCGTTGGTGGTGAGGTGCAATGACTGGCAAGGGAGAAACTAGACAGTTGATGGACAGTACTTGGTGCTCATGTAACAAGCATGCTGGCATCACGGGAATATGAACCTCAGAGCAGTCGTGATCACAAATATCATAGCATGACATTGTAATGGGTCTATCAATCTAGACTCGTAACTCAGGTCTGGGGGGGGTAGGTCACTCTCTAGTGTCAGACAGATGTAGTGGGGTCCTTGGGTACGGTGCTGATAACCCTCTCTAACTACTATACAGTGGGTCACGGAAGAGTCTGATACAAATAGAAAAGGAAAGTCACATGCATGAATGAATGAAAATAGTAAAGATAATAAAGAAAATGTCATATCTCCTCAACAACCCAACCAAATCCAACGGTCTTAGACTCGTCAGAACCACCTTTACAACCTCTACAGCTCCTACTATTACCCCGACTCACCAATCCCAGTCCCTGATGCAGTAAAGGGTGAAGTGTGCAATGAGGCTCATTTTAACCCACACGGACTTGTCCCCACAACAACGTCATCCATCAAGCGCTGGAGGGAGAGTTAGGCCATGACGTCCTATAGGATACAGGTTCCAGTGGATGATTATGGTTAGCGTAAAACTGTAACTCTCGATGTATATATAGACCATTGATCAGCTAAGGTTACCCTCAGCTGATCAACACAGGTTACTCACCTCAATTGATCTCAGTGTCTAGCCTCTCTCTTGTCTTGTTCCCTTGTGATCTGGGCCCTTGCTTCCGACCTTGTTTGCATCTCTTGTGCCTTAGCCCCATGAGGCCTGTAACAGATGATACACAAGTCATGAGTCTTCAACTTGCAACTTTGAGTTCTCATGGCTAGAACTGCCAGAAGACTCGATGTAACCAGGCATATAGGACATGTTGAGAGTAGTACACACACACACATGGGTTCAGCTGAGTCACAGAGGGGGTTGTTACAAAGGACAATGCACAAGGTAGTTTGTAGCAAGCCATGGTAGTTAGCAGGAACTGCCTCTGGTGGTTTCTGTACATGACATGTGACTATCTACAAAATGAAATGGTCATGGGAAATCCCGCAAAATACAAACAACCTTGGCCAGCACCAAAACCCTTATTGGGGAAAGCTTTGCATGAGGGGGGGGGGGAATGGGATAGAACAGGAGAGGATAGTAGAGTATTGCGAGAGGGAGTGAGAGAGAGAGAGAGAGTGATAGAAGGGGAGGTCTTTGACAATGTGATGGATATGGTCATTGGAGACTCTATATCCGTAACATGGTACCTCCCTTGAAGTGTCATCTCTCTGACCGTTGTCTGTACCCCTACTACATAGTCCTTGGTTTCCATCCATCCCCATGTTCTTCACTCACATCCAATCTGAGATGTCTTTTTGGCTTGTGGCCTCGTGGCTATTGTGCAGCGATTCCACAGTAAATGATGTGGGTTTGTCACTGTCTTCTGAGCATGTTCACTTGCATCATCAACTGAATCATCCATCTCATTTGCCCACTGAAGTCACCATATCAGGTACTTTTGTACAATTCAACGAAGGGAGCGAGTAAAGTGGAAATGGTGATTCAACCGGAACTTGTGCACAACTGGAACAGTGAGGTAATGTAAAAGAAATCAAACATCAATGTGGAAGTGGAGGAACAAGATCAAAACTGGATTGAGCAGGCCGAGTCTAAATTGAATCAGGGCAGAACTACCATGAAACCCATGGTTGACCTTATGAGGTAGGCAATGTGAATTGGAAGCAACGAAGCAAGTCTTGATCCAGAGGTTGAACTGTATGTCAGAGTATCAGTTGTCTGAAATTCAGGTTGAGAGAGTTGTCAGGGACTACAAGTTTACTGTTCTGCAATATGCCATGCAGATGGCAAGAAAGAGATGATCATCATAGTCATTGGAAGTGCTGAGCTTATTGACCAAAAGCAGTAAGTGTTTGTCTTTGATCGGCAACTTCCACACTCTTGGTTGACCATCTGTTCATTCAGCACCATGCAGTGTATTAAGGGCAATCGTGTTAGAATGGGCAGATTCGGACGACTCTGGAGTGGAATCGGAGACTTAGCATGGAAGGACCTTGGCCTCAGTGACTCAGGCGGAGCGCTGTGCCATTGCTGGTTGTCTGGGGGGTCCCTAATTTCAGATCTAGCAGAGGGAAAGTCTCCTGGGGGCATTTCAGGTCGATTTCGGACTGAGTTACAAGTTGCTAGGTACATTGTATATAAGGAGGGGTCCAGAATCAAAAGGAACAAGGGTAGGATGAAAGGAGACAAAGGGAGATGGAAAGAGGAACAACACCGAGGGTCAAGTGTTTGACTCAATGGTGTTTCCCTAAGGAGGAATGAAGGGCCAAGGCCCAAGGAGGAAGGAAGGAGGATGGGAGTGTGTCAGGGGACAGACCCCAGGTCCCCATGACCCCTCTCTCTATAGCCCACAGCCTAATCTGTAACAGCCTAGTCTCAAGGCACAACTACTGTGGGTAAGAAAGTGAGAAGAAGGTTAACTTCTCACTTTCCCACAGTGGCCCCAATATGGCGAAAACTTCCGGGGAACCCCGGAAGTCACATGAGGTGGGATCCAGGGTCGGATCATGCGGCGCGCGGAGCGTGCAGTGCAGGAAGTGCGCGGGAAGTGGAGCGGGTCCGGATGCGGGTCTGGGTCTGGGCTAAGTCAGGGTATGTGCCCTGACAGAGTGGGGAATGGCCAGCTGACTGAATAGAAAGGAAGCAGCAGCCCAAATAGGAATGAGGGAGAATAGCGGAATTGAATAGGACAATGCAATAGTTGCAAGGTCCAAGGTAAGTCTGTCTGGAAAGTCCGAACTTGGAAGTTAAACTCTGGAGTATTGGCAAATGTAATTAAATGGAATGAGCTAACCAATACAAGTGGAGGTGGGGTCAAAGTCCGAGGTCAGAGCTAAGACCAGAGGTTCTGGAGACGGAGATGCAAACAGGATTCCGGAGTGGAGGTCCAGAGTTGGGAGCATAGGTGTTGCGTGCTCGTCTGGAAGGTGTCGAGGATGAGGTTGGACCCGGAATGTTCCGGAGTCGGACCGAAGGTGGTGTTGGAGCTGGAGGTGGGATAACCTTTTGGAAGTCAGCAAGGAGGAGGTGACGGAAGGGGTGATGTTTGGTCCGAGATGAGTATCGGAGCGGACGGAGATAGGGTAGGAGAAGGACGGGAGGGTGGAGGTGGCATGAGGGGTGAGGGGAGGTGTGGTGTCGGGTCCGAAGGTGAATATCGGAACAGACAGCAGTAGGGTAGGACTTGGAAATCAGGTTCGGAGTTCTGGGAGCCCGGAGCGGAGGTCAGGATTGCATGGATATGACAAATCGGGTGTTTTTGAATGCTTTGGATGGATGGATAGAAAGATGAAAAAGACCCAAAAGGTAAGAAGATATCATTCAAGTTTCCCAGAAGGTGCTGTTTGTTTTGCCATGAAGGAGATCCATCTCATCAGTTTGGGGCCAAAATGGTGGAGGTTCCAAAAGTTAAAGTTTGAATGGATTCCTGATTGATAAGCTGATTTGATTGACACATCAAAGTGGTTGGACAAATAAATTGCCCACTGACATCACAGCTGATCCAAAGTCCTGGGACTGACTTGTATGTTCATTCTCACACCACCCCCAACTTACCCTGTGGGGGTTTGAAAATCGAAATTCTGAGTCCTGAATGAAGGCACAGGGCTAGATCAAAATGATGATGTGATAAGGCATCAGCGACAGTATTCTCGGAACCAGGAATATGAACCACCTGAACATTAAGACCAAAATCCATCATTGTTTCAACAGCATGTGAAATAAGCAAGCCATAGTTCAGTTGTGCTGCAAGGGAATGAAAGATGTTGACCATATTCATCAAAAGGTCTGTTGGGCAACCAGCTCAATCGCTGACACAACTGCCAAGGCTTTGTTAAAGAAGGTATCTCTGAATTTCACACCTGTGTTGGCAACCAGTGCCACCACAGCAACATGGAGACCAAAAAGCTAAGCCCACATTTGTAACAAATGTAAAATCCATCTGATCCAGGATTGTCAGTGAGATGAATTGCAGGTTCTGCCACAGGGTCCACCATATGATTCAGACAACTCCACCACTGCTGGCCAAATATATTTCAATGACAATGTCCCAACAGTTCAAAGAACTCACTGGCACAGTTCAAAATGCCCTCAGTGAGTTTCAACCTCCAAACAAATTGGATCTCCAAGGCCTTGTGAAGGATGTGTTGTTGTTGGATACATGGGCAGCAATGGCCAGATCGGAGGATCTGTCAAACTCTGGGCAACTCAGTTTCCCGAAATGGATGGTCCCAGAAGTATTCCCCACCATTACTTCCTCCCTGTTTATGGTTTGTGTTCATTGGATGATGGGCCACCAGCCAGATGATCTTTCAGGATGGATCAATCATGTCCCCATCAGTAGAACAAAGTGGAGTGTCCAGTGGTGGTTGGGATACATCCCAGATCAGGTGATTGAGCTATGTTCACAGTTTCCTGAGTTCCTCCAGCTACATGACCCTTTCGCTATCAATGGTGAGCCAGCTCTCACCTCACAGTGGCTCATCAAGTTTGCATTGCATCTGGACACCACTTTGGAGCAATATCATTTGCTAAGCAACATTTACTTGTGCATTGCCGCTCTGAAGGAGATGGGGATGAGGGAGCCCTGAAGTTTCTTGTGAGTGCAATGAGGCATTTTGTATGCTAATGATTAACCAGGATTTACATTGTTGCCCAACCACTCAATGGCAAGATCCTTTCTTATCCATTATAGATGTTACTGACGATTTTACAGTTACTCTCATGTCAGCCCTCTCATTATGGTAATTTTGATTTCTCCTCTTGTCCTACTTCTCAACACTACCCTCACAAATCCAATGATGCTCCCTACGATGAACACATTACTATTGCATGCCACCCTCTGTGGGGGATTTATCCAAATATCTCAAGGAGACCTGGATGCATTCCATGTGGCATGGAGGGTGGTATTGCCTCACATACCTGAGTCTGTTGATCGGACACCCAGTCCTCCCCTTGACAACACTGACAATGAGGGACCTTCCACTTCCACTCACACTGATGAAAGGCCTTCCACTCAAACTAATGCCAAGCCTTCCACTTCCACTCACACTGACAAAGGGCCTTCCACTCAAACTATGCCAAGCTTCCACTTCTGCTCACACTGATGAACCTTCCACTCAGACTAATGCTGAGCCCTCCACTTCCACTCAAACACCTGAGGGGCCTTCCACTTCGACAAATAGGAGGTCTGGGTGCAAGAGACTTGGTGCTTGAGAACCAACATCTGCTCAAACTAACAAATCGTCATCTGTTGGCCAAAGAAAAAGATGCAGGAATGGGGGAGGTGGTAGTGGTGTCCAACCAAAGAAAAGGAAACATACCCAGAAACCAGAAGCTCCTCGCATCGACAAAATTCATGTGACCAGGGAAGAAACAGTGGCATTTGTCCTCTTGGAAGAAGTTGTCACCTCTTGGTTTGGCATCAACACCATATACACATCCAGAGCTCCAGCAAGGGTCTCTCCAGATCCAGAGGCAAATGCCAAGGCAAGTTTCCCATGTGTTGAGTGATCGAAACTGACAGGGCCAGTAGCTCCTCCACAGTGTCCAGTTGCGCACCATCTCACTTGTTCCAAGACCTGCTCCTGTAGGAGACAAACTTGAAGGACATGCTGAGAAACTAACATTTGAATTTCTGCACTGTGAGGACTCTGTGAGCCTTTCCTCATTCCCTTCCCACATTGATGACTTCAATGTAGCTCTGCAGGCCTCATACCGTAGCTTCATTAGCTATGTGGAATCACTGCAGCATGACAAAAACTGGATGCCCACCACACTACCACTTGGCCATGTGCTACAAATGGAACCACATGTATTCCAGGAAATGCTGGACACTGTTGGCCCTCTTGTCTTGGTCAGCCCACCAGAGGCACTTGAATTTGACATTTTGACACTTTTTGGTCTGATGGACTTTCAGGGTGTCTCACAGTGTATAGGTAAGCGCATGTCCTCCTTCCATTGGGCTCACTGACATGGTTCTCAGACTCCAATGGGGATGAGGACTAGATCCTGGAGATGCCAGCAGGTGATGCTGCTCATGAAATGTGTCATTGGTCCACATCCAGGCCATTGATCATGGAGCATGTCCCAGCGACTGCTGGGATGTATCAAGCTGTGTGGTGAGTCTCTTTATTATGTCCCATATGTAGCTTACATGTTACAGGCTCCTCAACACTCATGACATGGCACTAGCTGAATTCCCTGTTGGCCAGTATAATGCTCAGCAGATAGTGTCCAGGGAGCCCAGTGAAGACTTACACATTCCAACACAACAGGATGATCAAATTACACAGCCCACACAGGCATCCATATGGCCTCACTCTCAGCATGGTTGAGCGTGAACAAACCATGACCCAACATTCCATTTTGAAGAATTTCCAGCAGAAAACACCCAATTTCCTCAGAACAGTTTATGGGCTGGCAACCATACTTTCTAAAGAATGTAGGATCCAGCCTTTTCAATGGCCTCATACTGATCCACTCACATAGATCACTGAGTACTGCTTGCTTGAGGTCACATATTGAGTCACAAGTTCACTGGTACACCAATCATGATTTACTCTGCACCAATCCAGATTTCGATGGGCAAGCCTGCTATGATTCTGTAATGGTAGACACTGTTAGAGACTGGAAGTGAGATGAAGGAGATGTCTCCATGGTGGAGGGCTTTGGCCTCAGCGACTCAGACCAGGAGTGCTGTGCCTAGTTACATGTCCATGCCCTAATTTACTTACTGGCAGTGAGAACTAAAAAGGGGGATCAACTCTAGTCAATTTTATCACTAGGGTGTAACCTATCTACAAGTTATGTATATATAGTTACAGTGAGGGTGGGCCCGTGAATGGCAGGACTGAGCAGAGTGGAACTAACGGAGTTAAACGTTAGCCGACTGAATATTACTGACAAGTCAGGTTACAGGGTTAGCAGAATGGCAGGCTATAACCCAGAAACGGAAAGGAGGGATAGGCCCAGAGGTAGACTTGCAGGGCAAGCAAGTGAATTGCCCAGCAGGGGCAGGAGTGTGCTAGCAGACGTCGGGGCTGTCCAGAGGCCTTCAGGGCTCTGTACTTAGGGAGGCGTAGGCAATATATTGAATTGAGGGGGTGGTGACCATTGAGGGAGTCGGAGGTGATTGTGGAATACGGGGACTCCAAGGTTAGTGATGAAGGAGTGGAGGTAGTCTGGAAGGATCAGAGGTAGTGGAGGACAATGGCTGTAGATGGATATGACATTATCCTGCATCACAAATATTTATTGGTATACAACTTGCGGATTCAAATGCATTCCATGCATTAATGAGGTTATCATCAATTGGGCCATTGTGATTGTCCCCCCTGTGGACCCAGCCCATGTCCTTGAATGCATCACGAAGAGTGCGGATGTCACCTGCATGGATTCGCTGACATGCTTTGTAGCCCCCCAAATGAGTTTCTTCATCAACTTCATCCCCAGACTCATCACCAATGCCCTGGAGCTGTCGAACAAAAAGAGCGGGGTTCTGGATGTACTCATTTTGTTTTGCATCAAATTCTTGGCATGGCCAATGACAAAGTCAAAGTCATTGGGATCTTCATCAGTCCAAGGTTTAAGGGCATTACAGCAGTTTTGTGAGAAAGTGGCAGTCGAAAAGTGAAAGGGTATTGAACCCTTTCGTTGTTGTGGGGACAACTCCGTGTACCGCAAAAAGTCGGATTCTGCGGAATTTGGCCACCAACATATACCACATACCCTCTGACGCTCCCGATGTCATTCTATCACTATCCAACACTCCACAAACTCATTCCTTATTTTTCCCTATTTTCCCCATCATTCCCGACAACCCCAAGCAAAATTCCCACGCCCAACCAAGCCGCCAATTTCACCCCCTCTCCAGATCTCCATACCTACACATACAACCCAGCCGTTTTTCCACCCGATAGTGATGCTCTACCTTCCTTCTTCACCCCCGGAGCATTTCCCAGAATGGCAATCCCATGCCTGGATGGTTCAGCACGGAGTAGAGTCTCACGTGGTCTTGACAGCACCTGTCAATGGCCACATCTCAACAACTACTGCACCAAATGGGACGAATAGGGGCTCATTGGAAAGCTGGAGACGAGGAGGTTGCTGACGGGAGGATAGGCGGGCGCTGTGGCGAAGCGTTGCGGAGTTAACTTTTACATTTCCCATTTCGGACCCGTTATGATATATTCCCCATTCATTCATATTTCTCTTATTGTTTCTTTGTTCCCAATTGGATATTCATCATTTACGGTTGCCTAACGGCCCGTTTACATTCCCCCAGTCCATTCATTTCATTTCAAACATATAAAAACTAGATAACAACTTGTACATAACAAGTTAGTATTGAATAGACCCGTGAAGGGACAAGCAGAAGTTGCATCCAAGTGGCAAAGACGCCATCCACGACCCTAACGCCCCCTCTGAGCTAGTTGCTCATGTCTAAGACCCCTCACATCATAATACTCAGCCTTGACGTCCAAGAGAGACGTAGGTGAGTGTTTGTTTGAGGTTTTTGCAGACTCAGTAGCGCCCACGGACCAAGACCCGGCCTCACGAACCACATCCGCGCACACTACCACCCTCCCCCTTCTCTCTGTCTCGAGTCTAGGCGATAGACCCGTTACATCGTAAAAAAATATCGACAAAATGAGTAAATATTCGGAATTTTTTATTTTCAATTCAAAAAAATATATGCTAATACAGTAGAATAAGCGCTGTGTGGCCATTTCCGCATTCCCTGTTATTATCAATAATGACTACATCAGCAAAGACTGGCTATCTGAATAACTGTCAATATGGTCCTCATATTGTCTGTGATTTCCGCATATTTTGAATCGTGACAGCCATTGACAGCCATTCGAAAATAGTGTCAGCCATGCCATTGTGCATTCCAGAAAGTCCAACTGCAGAGCTGTCAATGAAGCTCTCTATTTGCATAAATACAGGCTTTGAAACAGATTCCTCACTTTAAATCTTCTTGAATCCTCAGGAAAAACTTCGTAACTCTTTGCCTATATGATGCCAGAGACATACACTCTGGATCATTATGTTCTTAACAAGGATAAGCGTGCGCATTGGAATGATGACCATATCACAGGGTCAGCCCCCTGCCCCGTTCCCAAGACACCTCAGCAGGCATTCCAATACTACCTCGTGACAGGAGATGCCTGATTTTTGCCCGATGACTCTGACAGAGTTCTTGATGCTTTTGATCCTTCAGCACATAATTGGCCACCTGAAAACTGGACTATTCCATTCCCACCAAATTGTAAGAAAATTACCGTAAATGTAGTTGGATAAACACTGACTTTGCCACCATTCCATTCAGGGGAAGCACTACCACCTGATGATCCAATGCAGATGAAGTGCAAAGAATTTATTGCACAAAAGCAGAAAGTGGTACAGGGAATGCAACATAGGCTACAAGCTACCAATACTACAGTCGCCATTCCTTCTGCCCAAGCTGCAACAGCGCAGTTCCTTGTCCCACCTCCACTTCAACTGTCATACCCTCCATATCCCATCACATACCCCATGGTTTCCTTCCCTGGGCAACAAACCATGTTCCTACCACAGCAACCAACTTCCTCCCCACCCATTGCCATGCTTAACCCAACCTGGGCCCCTGACACAAAGAACTCTGCATCCAATGAAAGATTGGAAAGTATGTAGTTTTTTCACTTACTATGAGCTTCACTCAATGACTTGAGTAGAATTACTTGAAATCTGCTACCAATGTGACACACTCAATCCGAAGAAGGTGACAATGGAGGCAAGTCTCCATTTGCCTATTGATTGTTCTGCCCAATTTGCACTCCAGAAAATCGAGGAGGGGATGGGCATCAATGTCACTGAGCACAACATTGGGCACCTCCCAACTTTTGATGGAAAGCGACGATGGGATGTGCTAGTCCAGCTCAAGACTGTCGTGCACATGGAAAAGGTGCTAAATGAACTCTGCAACTGCATGTCTCATGCCCAGGCAAGCAAAAAATTATACATTGTCAATATTGTAAGTTCCAAAACATTATCTACATGACACCTATATGTGATATACCAACTCACCAGAAACCAGTACCCAAAGCTGACAACAAGTGTGGAAAAAGCCGTTGTTCTAATACAGTAAACAACGCAATTCAATCCAACCCGACTTCAGAGCAGTATGTGCTGCTTGGTAAGAGGTGGGAATGTCAGAAATGTGGTGGTCACTGTTGGCCACATACCCATGCAAGTGGGAAGCATTTGCACCTGAGCAATGCAATGCTGTCTTTGTGGGCACAACAATGGGTATGTACTTCCAAATTGCTGCAATCACTGATACTCATCTCATTATTATTTGTAGACAGACAACACTCCTGGCATCGATCTCCATAATCCCCCATCCCACCAATGGTTTGATGTCCCAGCTCTGGCGAAACAAACAAGGCCATCAATGAGAAAAAACACTGGGAATCTAGGAACCTGAAGCACAAGCGCCGTGCTACTACTCCACCACAAACCCCTCCAAAGTCCAATGCTGCAACCACACTACTGGCCAAGAAAATTAAGGCTGAGGCTAGTCCCCAGGTAAAGGTTGGGCTCATTGTGACACCAACTAAACTGCAACCTGAAAACCATGAAACCATTGTTCTCTCCTCCGACCTGGTAACCCCAGTCTGTCACACATCCATCATTTCTCTCTCATCCTCACCTGTCCCTGGACCTTCCAGGAAGGACTCTGCCCTCATTTTCAATCTTTGCAGTGACAGCTCTGCAGATGAGTCCAACATTGATGAGTTAGAATAAAATTGCGTGCTTGCTGTCAAATCTTTTTTTAAAAATTATCCCAATAATTTGATTATAAATTTGATCATAATATACAAATGCCTCGCGAACTCAGCCAATCATTTAAGCCAAATAGCCTGAATGACTGAACCAGCCACATGCTGAGGCTTCAGTCACTGAAAATACCGCTTCAAGAAGTAAAGTTTTTGCGGCATTGATATCCCCTCTAGATAGCACAGCGTCCACACGGTCTCAATTGAGATGGAGCCAATGTTTTATTGAAGAGAAGGCTTCCTCAATCGGGTTTAAGTTGGGGGAGTAAGGTGGAAGGAAAACAAGATGGACACCGCTACAATATCAGGACCAGCAAGACCAAGCTTATAGAACCATAAGGCACACTTACCAGTCAGCACACATTTGTTCAAGCTCATCAGACTTATGAATCGATGCATTATCCATAATTAGAACAGATCGGGGGAGAGGGAATGTGTTCATGCGTGGGAGAAGGGACCAAATAAAATCATTGAATGTCGCCGTTGTGTATGCCCCTTGCTGAATATTCACATGGAGCATGCCCTCTATGGTGAGAGCAGGAAGTATAGAGTACCTGAGGAAGGGACATTAGGATAAACATGGATTTGAAAAATGTTACACACTTAGTGCCTTGCATGAAGAAGTCCCAATGACGAGCTCAGTCACCAGATGGTGCCCAGCCATGGGAGTGCGAGGAAGTATTGTGATTGCATCCTGTCTCATCAACAAAAACAAGCTGTTCAGCTTGATAATGCAGACCCATATAGTTCCTAAATGCAGTATGTAATCCTTCATTGCATTCGAATGCCGGCTTTTGTAGCTGTATGATTTGTTTAGAGTTGATTAAAATAAGATATAAATATGTATAATGCATACCTTTTTGTGCGTGAAGCCCCATTGCTTCAGGCCGAGCCAGACAGTGGATTCACAAACAGAGATGCAGTGATATCTCTCTAATATCTGTTGTATTTCATGGAGGTAGAGGTCTGGCTTGAGTTCGATATGGCCTTGGATGAGCTACTTCACATAATTAGTACTGAAATCAACTGCTACAAGCATTCATTGTGCTCACATCCAGATCCCAGTTATTCAGTTTGCGACTGCACCCATGGTTGCCGACTTTGTCAAAAGGGATCCCTTGCCTATGAGCTGAGAGAATCCAGTGAACCGTGCATTCACTAATATGGGTGGCCTGTGCAATCTCCTTGGGGGAAAGAGTTTGAGACATTAGGGCAATGAGCCACTTTGTGTCTGGTGTGGTGTGGCTAGTACCCATGAGACAGCAATGGTGGCTACAGAGCTGAGCAGCTTGACATGTGCCAGAGAGCTGGGTCCATCAATATATCATCAACGGGGAATGCGGAATGGCCATATGGCACTTATTTTGCTATATTGACATGTGCTTCTATTGAATTGAAAATAAAAATTCCAAATATTTACTCATTTTGTCAATATTTTTTTACGAAAGGGTTCAATACCCTTTCACTTTTCGACTGCCACTTTCTCATAGAGAAATGGAGTAATGCCATTGCCTTGCATCAGGGGGTGATGGCATTTGGTATCATGACAGGAAAGGAGCACCATGGCGATGCGGAATTTGGACAGGAGGCAATGGGTATTTGAACCCTTTCCCTCAGCAATCTTGATTGGCTGGTATACAGCCATCACCCAGTGAAGATGGTCTTTTGAATTACAGTATGCAACATGGTCTCACTGTGTTTTCAATTGCATGTTCCACATGTGAAAGACTTCCTGAGTTGTCTGCCAATACTGACACTCCTGGTGCCAGCTGAGTTCCAATACCCAGATCCGAAGATACCATTGTCATGTGGATCTGGTTTATTGGGGAAGGAGTCATCCACTGAGGCCTTTCCCTTTCCCTTCACTTTCTCTTTGTAGATGCTCACTTTGGTGAAGAAATCTGAAGGGAATTTAGTATCTTTGGGGACTGGAATCAGAACATAGTCAGGACTATGTGTCATATCCCGGAATCCCGACCCCGCGCACTCCCACCACATCACACCTTCCTAACAACTTCACCATCCCCTACACCACGCCTCCCCACTCCCCAAGTCACCTCCCCTCCTGACTGTCTCAGCTCTGGTCAGGTTGCGGCACACCGAGCCTTGGCCACTCCCATCCCAGAAGCTCGGTTCCGAGTCGGAACATTCGGAGACTCCAGATGTGCTCCGATATCCTGACGGACCTCCGACATCCTGTGACACACCCTTAAACCATTTCTCCACCCATTTCATTTATCTGAGTCACCCAACATCCTTCGGATACGCAACTCCGCTTTCGGGGTTACCCACTTCCTTCGGTGGCCCCACTCACATCATCACTTATTAGTCACCCTCCACTCTTAGCACGACTATTTTCTCCTTATCATTCAGTCGGCTAACCCCCCCTTACCCATTTCTCATTCCTATTCATTTCCCGGCCTCTTACTCTGCCCTCTATGGTCCGACACCTCGGTTCCCCGTTAAAAGATATCGTTCGGGACCTTTCGGTACCTCTCAGTATCATTTGGCACCTTTCGGTGTCCTTTCCACTCCCCTTTATAAATACCCGTAGATTAGAACCTGTAACTCCTCAGTTCTAATCTCGACTAATATGCTACCCAAAGTCCCTCTGAGTGAATCCTGTTCCGTTCTACAAGATACCTCAGACATAAGAAATACAAGGACTAACTGAGATGTAACGGAGGCACAGCACTCCCTCCAAGTCGCTGAGGCCGCGTCCCTCTTAAAGCCTCTTGTACCATCCAGCAGAACCGGGCTTCCTGGAGAAGCTTCGGTCCACCACCGGAGCTCTCGGATTCCCCCTCTAGTTGAGCCCCACCTGCATTCGGACTCACGCATTTCCCCTACGATCTGGGTTTTTGACACTATGTGTCATCTCGACGACCCAGTTGGAATCTTGCTTTCTGGCCCAGGTAATAGCCTATTACCCATTTCCATCCCCTTTTGGGAGGACCGATTTGGACAAATTTAGTATCAGCAGAAAGCTACAATTTAGGAGGATTTATTGGAGCAGTGGGAGAAGGATGAGGAGTAGCGGTTTGGGTTTGGTTATATTCATTTCATTCATTTTATATTACCTATATTGCTTTTGATGTGGGTTTATTTCCATCACTTTCTGTGGCCCCATGGACCATTCATTCCTGGGCACATGGATTTTCCTGTATTTTCCTGTATGATACAGAGGACTTCCCCCCTCAGAAGGGGCCTCCCAATTTGCAGTACCCTTTTGTCTAGAAGATCAGCCATGCCAGAGCACATCCAGAGAACAGCCTAGGACTCCTGACGATTGTCAAGAGTGACCAGGAGTGAGTGTTGATTTTTAGAGATTTTTGTTGATTGTCAGTAGCACCCGGACCATGGCACCTTGCCACCCCCATCACCAACCCTATCCCAGCGCTAGTCCCCCACATTCTTGTCAGACCCAAGTGCTCCTTGAGCCAATCAAGTGATTCCCATGTCAGTTTATTGTCATCACCTGGTTGAACACTCTCTGAATCTAATGGGCATGCCATCAAATATGGTCTATCTGAAATATAAAGATGTACTGAAGCATGCAACATTACCACTCTCACAAGTGAGAGTGAGAAGGTGGCAATGGTCCTGAATGCTTTCTTCAGGAGTACCAATGACCAGGACTGTCCCTTGATCATTGACTAGCGCTTGGAAAGTCTCTGCTGAAATAGACAAGGCTGCAGTCTGAAGCAGAGTTTGTGGGCACCATGCCTTGTCCAAAGCATTACATTCCAACAAGTAGGTAAGCTTCCTGATGGGTTCCTGAAGACACTGGTTGTGAGTTGGTGACAAGCAGTGAAAGTATGAACACATACCAAGTCAGGGTAGTGCAGGAAAGAAAACCTCTCCCAAGTCCAGTGATATGTCCCTTGTGTTGTAGTTTCTCATTTCTTTGTCTTTTTCTTTTCAATCTGTGCTCTCACATGACACCAGAGTTGTCCTTTACTGTTTCTACTATCTGTGTAAACATTAAAGTCCAACTCAGGGTGTGCCACCAGCTGAGTTACAATACCTTGCATAGAGACACAAGGGAGATCAAAGTCCCTCAATATCTGTATTGCTGCATGAGAAAAATCACAAGGACAAAAGATGAGGATACCTTTTGTACACAAGGAGAGGGAAGAGGGCTGGGATGCAATCGGACATCTCTCCAGCCAAGGCCAACCTTGTATGTCTTGGAGACTGGGAATGTGGAACAATCATCCTCCTCATTGCCTTTGCCCTCATCCCCATCATCCTTGTTGTCCTTGTCATCCTCATTGCCCTCATTGCCCTCATCATCCTCATCATCATCGTTGTGTCATCCTCATTGCCCTCATTGCCCTCGTCATCCTGGTCCTCATCATCCTTGTCCTCATCATCCTCATCCTTGTCATCCTGCCTGCCCTTGTCCTTCACCCTCCCATCGTCACTTTCCTTATCAACATCCCTGGAAAACCTGCCCATCACAGCCTGTCTACTCTTTTTTGCAGCACTTGAAGCTGCATGTATGCATGAATGATGATTGCTTGCGCATTGTCCAATCTTCCCTCGTTCAATACCACAGAGAGGATGGCATGGAAAACTGCATTTTCTGTCATATCCATACAATCCCAACCTCCGCTCTGGGCTCCTGGAACTCCGAACCTGACTTCCAGAGTCCTACTTCCCTTCTGCCACCTCCTCCTTGCCGACTTCCAAGAGGTTATCCCACCTCCGGCTCCAACACCACCTTCAGTCTGACTCCGGAACATTCCGGGTCCGACCTCATCCTCGACACCTTCCAGACGAGCACACAACACCTATGCTCCCGACTCCGGACCTCTGCTCCGGAATCCCATTTGCGTCTCCGTCTCTGGAACCTCCGGTCTTAGCTCCGACCTTGGACTTTGACCCCACCTCTGCTTATACCCATTGTATTGGTTAGCTCATTCCATTTAATTATGTTTGCCAATATTCCGGAGTTTAACTTCCAAGTTCGGACTTTCCGGACTTATCTCGGACCTTGCAACTATTGCATTGCTCCATTCAATTCCGCTATTCTCCCTCATTCCTATTTGGGCTGCTGCTTCCTTTCTATTCAGTCAGCTAGCCATTCCTGACTCCCATCCTCCTTCCTTCCTCCTTGGGCCTTGGCCCTTCATTCCTCCTTTGGGAAACACCATTGAGTCAAACACTTGACCCTCAGTGTTGTTCCTCTTTCCATCTCCCTTTGTCTCCTTTCGTCTTACCCTTGTTCCTTTTGATTCCAGACCCCTCCTTATATACAATGTACCTAGTAACTTGTAACCCCAGTCCGAAATCGACTTGAATTCCCCCCAAGAGACTTTCCCTCTGCTAGATCCGAAATTAGGGACCCCTAGGACAACCAGCAATGGCACAGCACTCCGCCTGAGTCGCTGAGGCTGAGGTCCTTCCACGCTAAGTCTCCGATTCCACTCCAGAGTCGTCTGAATCCGCACGGTTCTAACATTTTCCATGTAAAGCCTCAAAGGCAAAGAATAATGCATCAATGCACCTGTGCATGCATTATTGAGAAGGGTAGAAACTGGCAGAAGTTGTGTGCCAGTGGCTGTTGAGGTTGGGAGCATGAGACAGGGGGGAGACAAAGAGTGTGTGTGCCAAATTGAGGATTTCCCCTAATCAAGATGAATATCGGCTCTCATAAACATGACAGACATGTACTGGTGGTTGGATCCCCATCCTAGGCATTCATCCTAAAAGATTTCAGCATCAATAGAACACTTGGATACTTACATACATACTCAAGATTTCCATAATTGTGCATCTTCAAGCAAGATTGAGATTCCCCATGCAGCAAACAGGAAATTTGACGAAACAGCATGGAAGTCAGAGTTCCTCTGGTGCTTCAGAGCCAAGTCCAACAATTTAGTGGATCAAGAAGAGGAGGATGTGCCTGTAGTGACCAATGGAAATGGTGAACTCCCCATTGTGCTCATTTATATGCAGAAGACTCAGACTCATCGGTTAGAACACTGAGAGCATGAGATACCCAAGTCATCACTTTCCGCTTGTCACTGGCCTCATCAGGGAGGCTGGTTGGTAGATCTGACTCAAGAGGAAGGAGTGGGATACTCTCTTTGGTCAGATACTGGTGGCAAGCTATCAGGGCAATAGCCCCAAACCCTGAGCCATATGTAATTACGATGTACATATAGTCACATGGGTAAGTGGCAACTTCCAGTTAACCGCTTACACACACCATAAAATACACATCATCATATCACTTACAGCCTCGTGTGCTGATGTCAGGGCAATAGCCCCAAACCCTGAGCCATATGTAATTAAGATACATATAGTCATGTGGGTAAGCAGTAACCTCTGGGTAACTGCTTACACACTACTGTAAAATACACACCATTGTATCACTTATGGCTCTGTGTGCTGAGACCTCACAGCTTCCAAGCTCCCTGGAAGAGTGCTGAACAGGTTGACTTGTCCACCCTGAGAATCCTGCAAGAATAAACAAGGGATCCCAAGGGATCTCAAGGATGTGAAGATTGAAAAGGGGAGAGGTTCCCAGCTCATTGATGACAGCCATGTCTGCCATGGCATGGAGATCAGCAGCATCTTCAAAGTCTTGCAGTGCAATCTGAGTGTCCAGAGTGCTCCCTCTTCCATCTCCTCATCCTCCCACACAAACTTCTTGAGTGACCAAGCCATTCTGACAACACCAACAACACCCCCTGCATCCCCATAAACATCCCTTTCAGGATGGCCATACACATGAAGGGTGAGGTTTTTGGGCAGGGGCTGCTTCCAGTGATCCTGCCTTCAGTCCTGCTCAACCCACATAGAGAGATGGTAGACAGATTTGGGAGATGAATCAAAGCCATGATGTCATCCATCCTGAACCCATCCCAGAACAGGGAGATTTCCCTCAGAGAACAAAGCCCTGCAGGGATCCTTTAGCCGATCCATTTGGTTAGATCTCCAGGCCCATGCCAGAAATAAGGTGATTCTGGTATGTGAATGCATAGGACCCTCAAGTTGGGGACCAAATGGAGCATCAATGCAAAGTATGTGTGGCACAACCCAGAGATGGCAAGAGGGCCTACACCCATCTCTTCCCCAGCTCATTGCATGGAGTCAACTTCCTCTGGATCAACTGAGGGCTGACCCTGATGGTCCCACTCTATCTCTGCCTGGTGGACCAACACCCCCAGATCTGGTCAAGCCATGATGTGTGACTGAATGGTGGCATGAAGACATTGGGAAACCAGGGAAAGTGTGATTAGGGTCTGGAGCATGCCAGTGCAATGCTCTGCAATGCTCTGCAATTTCACAAAGAGTTTCATTTGGAAGTGCATTCATGCTATGGGCAGCCTGTGTCAGTGATGAACTCCCTCAAAGCTGTCCCAAACTCACATCTGAAGGTGGGTAAAGAGGGAGTGAAGAGGAAGTTGAGGTGGTAAAGAGGAAACAGAGGCAGTGGATCCCACCTTTATACCTTCTGGATCTGCAAATCAGGTGATCAAGTAAATATTTTCTTGATCATGTGGCACCAAGACAGGTGAAACTTTCACCAGGGGGAAACTGCTATGTATGCAGGAACCCCACTTGTTAACTATGTCTAACCACCTGTAAAATCCCCTGTAAACTCCTATCCCTTGTAAGAAATGATGAGGCACCATTTTTGTAATGATATTTTCCATTTTTCTCCATAATTTATTCATTGATGCCATGTGTGTTGATGTGCCACATGAAAAATCCAACTTGACCACATGATCAAGAAAAATTTATCTTGATGCATAAGGTGGGAGCACTGCCACATTTCCTTCATGGGGTTATGATATGAGTTGGCCCCTTTCATAGGGAATCACAGCCACAGAATCATCATCACAGTCACATCTAGGTATATAAGATCCACTTGCCCATTATTTTCCTCCAGTTATGGCTTCCACCTCTAACACCATCCCCATGTCCCAGGCTGACTATGATGCATTGAAGCATGCATTGTTCAAAGGGTTTGCAAAGGCATGTTGAGTTTTCCCTTTTTGTTTCTGCCAACCCTTCCAACTCATAGGTCCCATTGTCCAGAATGGACCTCCTGCCACACAACCATGAGGTCAGCTGGCATTGGGTGGCAGAGCACCACCACACATGGTGACAAAGGACATTGAGCAGTACACCATGGCTGGGCTCTGCCCACAGATGACTTGATCGAGGTGGATTCGAATGGGTTCTTGGCTGGAGATGAACTGATCCAGATCATCCATGGGCAGCACTGCAAGGCTGTGCTGCAAGTGGTGATTGCCATGGAGCTTGGGTATATCCAGGACCTTCTGGTCAAGGAACATGAATGCCAGGGTCTGTCAGCCACACAGATCTGATCGATCCATGCATCCTCCAATGCATGGTGGTTGGTAGCATTATATGGAAAGAGTAAGGATATCTACAATATGTATGCATTCCATTCGCTAACCACACACAACACATGATTGCAGAGGTCTCTCAGGATGGGATCATGTTTCAATCCTGGTTGTTGGAGGATAACCTTCAACAGGCCAAAGTGCCTCTGACATGGGCAGACTTCATGCCTGTGGTGCTGGTCATACTGGAACAGGACCCACCCCCAACCCCGGATGCGATGAGGAACTTCACAGCTGTCTGCAATCAAACCTTGCCTGAAGTCTGGTGCCCTGAGGCAGATGTTCAGAATCCTGCACTGGATACCTTGGTTCCATGCAGAACACAGGGAGATAGCATTCAAGCCTTGGCACAACCAAGGAATGCACAATGTGAGTGATGATTTCTATTTATTTATTTATATCTTCTGCTCACCACTTTGTTGATAGTTCTTTGCAGCTGCCACAGAAATCTGTCTGTGGCAGTTGATTCCAATGGTGACCCAATATGTTTTCTTCCATCCTAGTAGTCCTACTAAGTTTCTATAAAAGGAAATTTTCCTTCATGGAATTTCCTTATATGGAAATAAGGGTTTGTAGTTGTTTGGGATTGTAGTGTGAAGTCTCTGGGATAATGTGTACCTCCAAAACCTTGCCTTGCACTCAAGTTTTATCCACAAACAAAATGTCTTGATCCACTCAATACATCTCCATAGCCACTTGGAGTTCTTCCATGGTCTCAAACTTGGTAGGAAGCTTTGGAAATGCATGTTAAATGGCCAGCATCATTACTTGAAAAGCTCTATCTGCTTCATTATTTTGGCACCAGTAGTGCAAAGATAATATGGATATATGTGTGTGCAAAATGGCCATTGTCATTCTCATGAAATAAGCATCAATGTCTCAACAAGCTGTTACGTCAGAGCATGAATTTTCAGGTGAGTTAAAAATCAAAGGCTTCTGCCTTTCATGCTAATTGCATCAACACTCTAAGGCCATGTGTGGTGGAAAGGAGAAAAAGAGTACAAATACCACCTCCATGATGTGTAAGCTGTTCCTTCATAATGTGTCAGAGGATGCAGTTGAGACTTTGTCAGTGTGTACTGGATGGATGATGCTCAATTACCAAGAGGGGATGCATATTTTGAGAGGACTTTGATGACACATGGAGGCAAGGGAAAGATAGTTGAGATAAGGCCTCCATCAGAATCTGTGAGTGCTCCAAGTTGAATGGGTTGCCTGAGGCTGATGCTAATGCCACTCCTTTGGGATGACCAAGTAAGGGCTATCATACATTTTACTCTAGCTAGCTCACACTGTCATCAGATAGTGAGATTGCAAGTATACTGGGATGCCAGTATCCCAGCAGCTGCCAATGGGATTCTGGAGGAACTCCATGAGGAGTGTATGTCTTAAGGTACAGAGCCCAGAACCAAAAGTGACCAATTTTGCAGTTGCCATGAATTAATTTGTCTCAATGATGCCTTTATTTCTTGTCTATGGAGAGATATCAAACATGAGCATCCATATTTCTATCTACACACTGTATTGATCCTGTGAATAGATTCATGTCTGGTGGTAGAATCCATCTTTGATGAAATGCCTGGGATTTTGTGCCAGCTCATTATGAGGACTGGTTTTTAATGTAAGGCACATCTCATAGTGAACTAAAGAGCCCATGTTAATTTAGTACTAGCTGGTTCTTCCAAGGTGGGCTCAAAGGGTTCCAGGTGAGTATGCAATTTCTATGTTCAAGTTATGTATCATTGACCACTTACTTAGCCCATTAAGGGGCTATGTGATGGTCCTTCCTCTGGGAGGTGGGATCTGGAGAAGGAACTCCAAGCCTTTCATGGCAGGAAGGGTTGGATTCTGGCTGCAGCTGATGAGCTTTGGATGCTTGCCTCTGAGGCCAAGGATCTGGAGAGTGCAGCCAGCAACTTCATAAGTCCAAAGGTTGAAATGTTTTTGCAGGAGGGAATTGAACATGAGGGGGTTTACAACAAGTACCAGTATGGTTCAGGGGTTGGGGCAGGTTGTTTTGACCACCTTTCTTTTGTCATCCTCTGCAAGCTCACCTTCTTCTGTCAACCTCTGTACTGTCAACCTCTGTAACCTCTTTCACTGGTCCTCAGTCTTCAATACAATAGAATTATACATATTTCAATATAGTAGAGTTAGCACCCACAGCTATCCCCCATTCCTTGATGAATGATGACCACAGCACTGACAGTCACAGTGATCTGGGCAGGTTGCCAGCACAAATCGCCCATCTCAGTGACCACAGGGTTTGCCGCATTCTCTCAGCTCACCAGCAAAGGATCCCCTTTGAGAAAGTTGGCAACCAGGGGCATAGTTGCAAACTTAACTGGGGTCTGGATGTGAATATGATAGATTCCAGCACTGAACCCATCAAGTAGCTTATCCAAGACCATAAGTTTATTGGGTCTACTCCATTCCCATACTGGACAAAAATGGAGGCCAGAGTCACAAGAGCCTTGAGTTTGGTCCCACCCTTCAAATGACTGACAGTTCTTGTCTAGTCCTGGAGACATGTTTTCCTGCCATGGTCAAGAATAGAAATAGAAGGCCTAAAAAATATCATGTTAGGTTGGAAAGATCCAACAGAATCACACAGGCTCACCCAAGGATCAAAAAGAGCACCACCCCTTCTGAACAGAAGCATTAACATAACACACTATACATCATACAGCTTAGGTGACTAACCTTCCTTTGCCTTTGCAGTCCTTGTGTGCTTGCTCAATCAAACCCATTTTGTTGGGTGATAAGGTGATCTTTATGACCAAGTGCTTGTGAGCACACAGCCCAATGAGTGGCTTTCCTTGAAAATCCCTAGACTCCCCAAATCAAATGACTCTTAAAAGAGCCTTTCAACCATGAAACTGGTTCTAGTTGTGCATTGACTGTCATATCCATCCCTGGCCATCGACTTCCAGTCCCTCCGATTCCTCCGTTCCAACTCCGCTCCTCCCTCTCTCAGTACCCCTCGATGGTCACCACCCCCCCATTCCAATTTATTACCTACACCTCCCTAAGTACGGAGCCCCGAAGACTTCCGGACAGCTCCGACGTCCACTAGTGCACCCCCGCCTCCGCTGAGCAATACACTCGCCTGCCCTGCAGAGTCCACCTTCGGGCTTATCCCTCCTTTCCATTTCTGGGTTATCGCCTGCCTTTCCGCTAACCCCGTGAACCAACTCGTCGGTAATATTCAGTCAGCTAATGGTTAAACCCCGTTAGCTCCGCTCCGTTCGGCTCCGCCAATTGCGGAACCGTCTCCACTGTAACCATATATATATCCCACTTGTACATAGGTTACGCCCCAGTAGAAAAATCAACTAGAGTTCCCCCCTAGGTTCTAATTGCCAGTCAGTAAGTTAGGGCACGGACGTGTCACTAGGCACAGCGCTCCTGGCAGAAGTCGCTGAGGCCGAAGCCCTCCGTTACGGAGACATTCTTTCGTCTCAAGTCTGGTCTCTGACATTGACCAGGTTTCTGAGCTCATTGGTGGAAGTTTGATCCTCGATGTCACCCAATGCTTTATAGTGGGAAGCATGGGCCTTTTGAATGCTGCTGGAAAAGGCCTTATTCTTGTCCATTGCAGCCCCTGAGCAGAGGTCTTTGAAGTTCAGAAGATGGCCAATGGATAGAAAAGATCCCTATGACCAGTGAACAATGGTGTGGCAGTGAGTGTGACCAACATAGCACAAGTCTAGGCAATGGAAAGTAGGGGGTTCCAATATAGGTGTGCTTCATCCACCCATACAGACAGGAACTGGTAGGACTGGGAGTAGATGGCAAGGGAGACTGCTTGGAACTCCCTGCCTTCAAACCTTTATCCTGACCTGTGTAAATGCAGTGATCCAAACCAACCGCCTAAAGTAGAGTACAAAGGAATTTCATGTGATGGGAGGTGGTTGGGGTGGTGGATTTGGAGAAATGGCCAGAAAATGAAGAAAAACAACAAATAAAAGGGCCTCACTCCCAGTGCATTGCCAAGAGGGGGGAAAGGCTTTTCTCATTCCTGTGCATGATTGATAGAGCAGGGTTTGGGGCACAGCCCCAAGGCCCTCCGCAGGAGCAGGGGTTCAAGGGGCTGGCCCCTTGGTTCATAAATAATCACCATATATCTCATTATTCCTTTAGCACATGGGGAACAATAATACCAAGGATGTCGTTGCATGGGGCGGAGCCCCAATGGGGTCTGGGGCAACGCCCCAGGGGGGTTCAGGGCACAGCCCCGATGCCCTCCACAGGAGCTAGAGTCCGAAGAACGTGTGGGTGTGCGAGGAACGAGCACCCCACAGGTTTAAGGTCTCTAGTCTCATAATGAAGTGAGGTTGAATGTATTGATCAATACAAATTAAATTCATAAGCAATACAGTTTTGTGAGCCGTGGGAGCGTTTTCAATGTTAACAATTGTACTAGACAACCTGTCGTGGTGTAATAATATCAAATGGAGAGGTGATCATGATGCATCCATTGCAGAAAACCCCATGGAAAACGGTTGAAAACTGAAGGAGATACAAGTGGTGGCCCATCCCAGCGCGAGTTGTGTGCGTGGGAAACGGTCTCCACGGCCTCATACAGGCTGTTTAACGATATGTACCAATAATACGAAATACAAAGGATGCTAATAGAAGCTCATTGAAAAAAACCCGACGAAAAACGAATGGGATTTGACAGAGATATGCATGTAAATGTCTTTTGTGTGTGAAAAAATGTGAAAAAACGTCCCACCGCCTCATACACCCTCATTTGCAATGTGCGCCAATAATATAGAATGGCGATGGCGTTAATACAAGTATGTACGAAAGAAAACGACGAAAAAAGAATCATAATTGACAGAGATATGAATGTGCATGCTTTTTTTGGTGAAAAATTGTGAAAATCCATCCCACTGCCTCATGAACGCTCATTCGCGACTTGCACCGATAATATCCAATGGTCAGGGGGTTGGTACGGGCCCATTAAAAGAAACCCGACGAAAAACGAATGGAAACTGACAGAGATACTAATGTACATGCTTTATGTGTGGAAAAAACGTTCCCCCTCCTCATTCACGCTGATTCACGACTTTAACCAACAATAACAAATGGAAGTAAAGTTGGTACGGGCCCATTGAAAAAAACTCGATGGAAAACGGTCAAGAACTGAGGGAGATACCAATCCAGTGTCAGCTCCGCGGCTGATCTGTGCATGGGAAACGGTCCCCAGCACCCTATAGATGTTTTAAAAATATAAAAGAATATTAGGTACCTGCATTAATACTATATAAAATGGTTCGCAAAATTTCAGGCCATTCGGCCCAGTATCAAGCGAGATATAATAAATTATGTGATTAACTTTCACTTGGCACCCTCAAAATCGCAGAATATCGAGTTGAGGTAATAATACAAATTGTAGAGGACATTAACGCGTGCACGTTAAAAGAAACCCGAAGACAGGAACTGACAGAGATACCAATCCAGTGTCAGCTCCCCGCATGATCTGTGCGTGGGAAATGTTCTCCAGCACCTCACAGGTAATTGAAAAATATGTAAAAATATCAAGTACTTGCGTTAATGATATACAAAGTAGCATGCAAATTTTCAGGACAGTTGGCCTAGTATCAAGCGAGATATGATAAATTCTTTCAGTTATTCTGACTTGGTACCCTGTCAGGGCACACCCGCCTGACCCAGCCCCACCTAACCCGGTGCCCCACCATCCGCTCCTCCCGACCTCCCCCTCTTTTCCCTTCCCTTTCTTCTTCCCCTTCTTTTCTATTCTCTCTCCTCTTTATTCCTTTCTTATCACACGGACGACTTTGTCATATCCATCCCCGGCCATCGACTTCCGATCCCTCCGTTCTAACTCCGCTCCCCCCTCACCAACCTCGGAGCCCCCGTATTCTGCAAACCTCTCGGTACCCCTCAATGGTCACCACCCCCTCATTTCAATTTATTACCTACGCCTCCCTAAGTACGGAGCCCCGAAGACTTCCGGACAGCTCCGACGTCCGCTAGCGCACTCCCGCCTCCGCTGGGCAATACACTCGCCTGCCCTGCAGAGCCCACCTTCGGGCCTATCCCTCCTTTCCGTTTCTGGGTTAACGCCTGCCTTTCCGCTAACCCTGCGAACCGACTCGTCGGTAATATTCAGTCGGCTAATGTCTTAACCCCGTTAGCTCCGCTCCGTTCGGCTCCGCCAATTGTGGAACCATCTCCGCTGTAACCATATATATACACCACTTGTACATAGGTTACGCCCCAGCAGATAAATCAACTAGAGTTACCCCCCCTAGGTTCTAAGTGCCAGTCAGTAAGTTAGGGCACGGACGTGTCACTAGGCACAGCGCTCTTGGCAGAAGTCGCTGAGGCCAAAGCCCTCCGTTATGGAGACATTCCTTCGTCTCAAGTCTGGTCTCTGACAGACTTCCTTTGTATCAATGTACCATTGACCTGGCTGCAGTGTAACGTGCCCGAACCCGGACACACCAGACGACCCCCCTGCATACCGGACGCTCCTAGGACCTCTTACGGAGGTACCTGGATGGAGGTGGCTGTGTGGTTGGATGATGTGGTGCTTCCCACGTGGCCTTCAACCACATGTATATAAACACAGCCTAAGTGGGAACTGAGAAGCAACCTTCTTCTCACATTTCCCACTTTAGGCAAGTAGCTTACACTCCCCCTGATAATAACAATAACACATTTCCCACTTTAATCTCAGTGGCCAGGGACCCTTGTCTGCTTCGGGCCCGTTGTTACATGCGCCCACGTCATACCTACCGGACCCTCAGCCTCGGGCGATACACCCGGGCGCTCTCGACCCCGGGTCGGTCCCTGACATACCCTCAAGATCGCAAGATCATAAGTTTGAGTAATAGTACACATTGTAGGAACCATTAACATGCGCCCGTTAAAACAAACCCGAAGAGAAACGAATGGGAACTGACAGAGATACGAATGTAGTGTCTGCTCTGCGCGTGGTCTGTGCGTGGGAAACGTCTTCCAGTGCCTCACGGCATGTTAAAAAAATATGAAAAAATGTCAAAAACTTGCGTTGATAATATATAAGCAAATTTTTAGAACATTTGGTAAAGTATCAAGCGAGATATAATAGATTACTATACAGTTTGTGCATGGGAATGCGATAAATCGGCGTAATCTCCTCAGGATCGCCGAACGACGAGTCGGACTAATAATACAACATGTAGAGGACATTGAGACGCACCCATGGAACAAAACCCGAGGAGAAACAGATGAGAACTGAGAGAGATATGAGAGATTTATGTGAAAATCACGTGTATATGTTCAGTTTAAGGAAATTCATGTGAGTAATGAGTTTAACCTCCCACAACTTTTTCCGTGCACAGACATATGCGAAAAAGTACTAATACCCCCACTCAAAACCGGTTCAAACCCCCCATGGGAGCAACCCTTTTTTGCTCCCATGTGACTTTGGCATGTAAAATAGATAGATAAATAGGTAAAATAGGTAGATAGGTAAATAAAAGTAGATAAATAGGTCATAATAATCGTGAATAGTAATAAATAAAATAATAAAAATAGTAGTTGTTTGTTGTTGTATTAGTAATTTTTTTTTTTGGTTGTTTTCACTAATTAGTTATTAATAAGTAATGATAGTATTGTTGTGTTAGTTATTTTTTTTTTGTTGTTGTTTTCGCTAATTAGCAAATACAATTAGATAATAATAGTAATAGTGGTGTTGTATTAGTCATGTTTGGTTATGTTTTCGAAATTGGCATCTACCATAAATGGTGGTACTGTTGTATTCTCTCTTTTTCTTTGTATTTTGCTATTAGCATGTAAAATAAATAGGTAAATAAAATTGAATAATTAAAATGTGGAGCAGAATCAAATGAAGGGTTCCATATAAGGTAAAAATTTGAGAAAATTCACGGCAACATGGCACAACATGAAGCAGAAACATCCAAAAAAAATAACCAAGGTGTCCTGAATAAAATAAAATCTGAAAAAATTGCGGCAATGTGGGACAACAAAGGAAAATAAATTTTATATAAAAAAATTCACGGCAACATAGAATAAAAAGACAGAAAAATAAAAGCAAGGTGCTCTCCCTAAAATAAAATCCAAAAGAATTCATGGCAATATGGGGAACACTGTTTTATAAACTTACAAAGGAATACCAGACAAAACTTGATCAGTTGGGGTGGTGGGTTTGCAGAAATGGGCAGGAAATGAAGGAAAACAGGGCCTCACTCCCAGTGCATTGCCAAGAGGGAAAGGCATTTCTCATTCCTGTGTATGATTGGTGGTGCAGGGTTTGGGGTGCAGCCCCAAGGCTCTCCGCAGGAGTGGGGTTCGGGCAAGGCCCCGATGGCCCTCCACAGGAGCAGGGGTTCAAGGGGCTGGCCCCTTGGTGTAAAAAATAATCAAATATGTCCAGGGGGGTTTGGGGTGCAGCCCCAGGCTCTCCGCAGGAGTGGGGCTTGGGGCATTGCCCCAATAGCTCTCCGCAGGAGCAGGGGTTCAAGGGGCTGGCCCCTTGGTGCATAAATAATCACCATATATCTCATTATTTCTTTAGCACATGGGGAACAATAATAACAAGGATGTCATTGCATGGGGCGGAGCCCCAATGGGGTCTGGGGCAACGCCCCAGGGGGGTTCGGGGTGCAGCCCCGATGCCCTCCGCAGGAGCTAGAGACCGCTAAACATGTGGGTGTGCGAGGAACGAGCACCCCACGGGTTAAAGGTCTCTAGTATATAATAAAGTCAGGTTGAATATATTGTTCTATTCAGTTTTTGAATGGGTCAATTCAGTTCTCTGAGCCGTGGGACCTGTTTCAATGTTAACAATTGTACTAGATGACCTATCTTGGTGTAATGATAAAAGATGGAGGGGACGTTTGAGCGATTCCAGTGCAAAAGACCCCATGAAAAACGGTTGAAAACTGAGGGAGATACGAGTGGTGGCCCATCCCAGCGCGAAGTGTGTGCGTGGGAAACAGTCTCCACGGCCTCATACAGAATGTTTGACGATATGTACCAATAATACAAAATACAGAGGAAGCTAATAGAAGCTCATTAAAAAAAACCCGACGAAAAACGAATGAGATTTGACAGAGATATGCATGTACATGTCTTTTGTGTGTGAAAAAATGTGAAAATCCGATCTACTGCCTCATAGACCCTCATTCGCGATTGACGCCAATGATATAAGATAATAAGGGCGTTGTTACAAGTATGTAAAAAAAAGACGGTGAAAAACGAATGATAATTGACAGAGATATGAATGTATATGCTTTTTTTGTGAAAAATTGTGAAAAACCATCCCACTGCCTCATGAACGCTCATTCGCGACTTGCACCAATAATAGCAAATGACCAAAAAATTAGTTCGGGCCCATTAAAAGAAACCCGACGAAAAACGAATCAAAATTGACAGAGATACTGATCTACATAGTTTATTTGTGGAAAGATCGTGCTACTTCCTCATACACGCTGATTCACGACATGCACTAACAATACCAAATGTAGAGAAAGTTAATCCGAGCCCATTAAAAAAACCCGACGGAAAACGGTCAAGAACTGAGGGAGATACCAATCCAGTGTCAGCTCCGCGGCTGATCTGTGCGTGGGAAACGGTCCCCAGCACCCTACAAATGTTTCAAAAATATATAAAAATACCAGGTACTTGCGCTAATACTATATAAAATGGTTCGCAAAATTTCAGGACATTCGGCCCAGTATCAGCGAGATATAATAAATTATGTGATTAATTTTCACTTGGCACCCTCAAAATCGCATAATATCGAGTTGAGGTAATAATACAAATTGTAGAGGACATTAATGCGCGCCCGTTGAAAGAAACCCGAAGAGAAACGAATAAGAACTGACAGAGATATGACTACAGTGTCACCTCTGCGCATGATTTGTGCGTGGGAAAACGCTTCCCAGCGCCTCACAGATGTCTTAAAAATATAGAAAAATGCCGAGTACTTGCGTTGATACCATATGGATAGTTCGCAAAATTTCAAAACATTTAGTCCAGTATCAAGCGAGATATATGGCATTTGTCCACTTTGCTACCTTTTCAATTCAATGGAACAAGTCATGTGACTTTGATCGGTGATCGGATCAACATCTCTCTCTCTCCCTCTCCCTCACACACTCTCTGGGCTCTCTGCTAACTGTAGCACTCAATCTTGCGCTTGGGATATCCCCAATATTGAGCAACTCAACACTCTGTTGCCACTTCTGGGGGAAATCTTGCAAAATCTTGCAAAACTGCGATCACAATGTGAGATTCCCTCTTAAACTCAATCATCAACTGTGTTTCATGCCCAAACTTTAGGGCTGATGAAAGACAATCACGGCCTGAAGTACGAATACAACAAACACCAAGCCCTGAAACTTTTCGACGTACACACCGCTCAGAAAACCGTGATGAACGCCGCCTCCATTCTCCAACAGGACGGCGCGCTCCTGCTCCTCCCAGCAGCCCCTTCAGCCACTGCCACATGATCGGTGGGCACAGAAGTTAGACCGCATAAATCAGGGAGATGCTGCAGCTCTTGAACGCTTGCAAATATACAATCAATTGCCCCCTCATCCACAACGCAATGCACGTGGAAGGCCCCGTGGAAGGCCCCATGGTCGAGCAGGCCATGTTCGTAGCCAATCTTTGCCAAGCCAAGGGGGGCATGGACCACAACAGGGTCCTAGAGGTGGTATCGCAAGCCGTGCCCAATCACTTGGCCGCCGCTTCCCCTCTCCTCCACCAGCACCACGTGCACGTGGTCACAATCTCCCTCCTTCCCCACTTCGTCACCCAGTACCCCTTCATCCAGATCATCAGATCGTCCAGCAGTATTGGCTCCCATATCAAGAGGGTCCAAATATACATACTGCATCAGACAATCTCGGTGGAATGAATGTTCGTTGCCCCCAATGTGGCGCTTTGCACTGGGAGAGGGAGAAACTTGCAAATTCACGAGTCAATCACCCACGTTTTGGGTCTTGCTGTCTGCAAGGAAAAGTTCAACTCCCTCACCCACGTCCCCCACCTCCACTGCTCCAATGTCTCCTCACTGTGCACTCTCACTCTGCAAATGAATCGGAAGCATTCAAGACCAAAGCCTGAGAGTTTCGAACAAACATTCGTCGCTATAATGCTGCACTTGCATTTGTCTCATGTGGGATGAAAGTCGAGGATGGTTTTGTGAATCGCATGAACCAGCGAATCCCAGGTGCTGGCCATACACGTTTCAAGTCCATGGGACGTTGTACCATTGCATCGGCTCACTGCTGCCACAACAAGGGGAACAACCAAGATATGCTCAACTCTACATCTATGATCCCCAGGACGATGCAGCAAGACGCCAGATGAACCAGCTCCGTGTGGATCAGAATGCAGACCAAGACCCACAGCTCATGCTTGACCTGCATGATCTCATGGTGGAGCATAACCCTTGGGTGCAAGTATATAGGTGAGTCATGCAGTAAGCTCTTATCCAAAGAAAACAGTGCACTTATATATTGTAAAACAGAACTGGGCATGAACGAATGCGCGATACCCCTCTTGATCGGCGTGACCTCCCTCTACGCATCCATGTTGACATCCAGCAAGATCAACGGCGCTATAATGCTCCTGTCGTGGATGAGATTGCAGCCATCATTCCTGGAGATGGTACAGATGCTGACAACACCCGTGACATCATTTTACATCGAGTTGGTGGCCCACTTCAGCGCATTTCTGAGACTCATCCTGCCTATACTCCCCTCCACTATGTCCTTCTTTTTCCATATGGAGAGTGTGGTTGGCATGTTGGAATCCCTTTCCACAATGCCCAAGCTGCTGATGAGGGTGAAGGTCAAGATGATGAGCGCAACAATGATGATGATGAGGATGATGAGGATGAGGGACCAGGCATCGCTGTGGTGCGGAGGAAGGTCACTAAAGTCTCTCACACTTGATTCCACGCCTATCGCCTGTTCAAGCGTGAGATCCAAAATCAGAACGGTCAGTGGGTCTCAGACTCAAGCCTTCTTTTGCATGGTGGTATGTAATTCTAAACTATATATATATGATCACTTCACTCACATGTTATTGTAGGCCGCTTATTCCTACAGTATTTGGTCGATCACTGGGCTGCAAATGAGCAGATGCGACTCAACTGGATCAGGGAAAACCAGAGGACCATTCGTGCAGAATGCTACCAAGGTCTCATCGATGCTGTTCGCAATAATAATGACCCTGCTCAGGTCGGTCATCGAATCATCCTCCCTTCCTCCCATCCTGGCAGCGTTCGCAACATGCTCCAGCTCTTCCAAGATTCCATGGCCATCACCCGCTTCTTTGGCTTTGCATCATACTTTGTCACAGTCACAGCCAATCCCCAGTGGCCAGAGGTTCAAGCCGCTCTCGAACCTGGCCAGAAAGCTTCTGACAGACCTGACATCGTTTGTCGAGTCTTCTATCAGAAGCTACGTGCATTCCTCAAAAATCTTGACAAAGATCCTCTCTTTGGCAAGACAATTGCACGTATCCATGTCATCGAGTTCCAGAAGCGTGGCCTTCCCCATGCTCATATCCTCATTTGGGTCCAAAATGAGCATCAGCCAAGGGATGGTAATGACATCGATGCCGTTATTAGGGCTGAAATCCCTGATCCACAGACAGAGCCTGCCTTATATGCATTGGTCGTCCAGTGCATGGTCCATGTCTGTGATCGCAACCGCTGCCTTGATGATGGTGGACATTGTGAGAAAGGTTTTCCCAAACCCTTTCAAGATTCTACAACCTTGGATGAAGGTGGTTATCCATGCTATCGCCGTCAGGATGATGGGAAGATAGTCGAGAAGGCTGGCAAACAGCTGACCAACAGGCATGTCGTCCCCTACAACCCCCATCTCTTGCTCCGTTTGGGATGCCACGTCAACGTAGAGTTCTGTGCAAACATGTATGCAGGTGAGTATCCCCCACCCAACTATCACTGATATGTGAATGCTGAATTTCTCACAATATCAGCAACCAAGTACATCCACAAGTACCTTGCAAAGGGTCCAGACCGTGTAACTGTCATGCTTGGTCGGGACGATGAAATCAAGGTCTACCTGGACACTCGGTGGATTGGTGCATGTGAGGCATTCTGGCGCTTTATGGAGTATGAGCTCCATGTCCACAAGCCCAACATCGTTCGTCTCCCTGTGCATGAGGAGGGTATGCAGCATGTCATGTTTGGTGAAGAAGATGATGTTGAGGAGATTCTGAGGCGCAATCAGCAGACAAAGCTCACAGCCTACTTTGCAGTAAGTGATTTGCAATATTTTTGGGTACATACAACACCAACTAATTTTTTCTATCAAAGGCCAATTCTAACCGGCATATTCGAGGTTACGCAAGGTGCTTCCTCTATCAGGAGTTTCCCCAGCACTTTGTCTGGATGAAGGGAGACAAGGTTTGGAAGCCACGTACTCGACCTGCCATTGCCATTGGCCGCATGTTTGCAGCTGCACCAGCTTCAGGTGAACGCTTCTACCTTAGGCTGCTGCTTACAGTCGTTCGTGGTGCCACTGGCTTTGAGAGTCTCAGGACTTTTGATGGTGTCATCCATCCAACCTTTCGCCAAGCCTGTCTTGCCCGTGGACTGCTTGAGGATGATGGTGAATGGCGCCTTTGCCTCAGAGAAGCAGCTCTCCTTCAAACTGGA